GGATGAAGGGCTTCTAAAAATGTGTTTGTTTGAGTGCCTCATTATGTGTTTCATAAATTGAGTTAATGTTGTTGTATTTTTAAATAGATGTGTACAATGGACGATCATCATCAGGAGGTGATAGCGTATTGTCGTGAGTACGGTTTTCATGGTTTATTGGCTGATAATGCAGAATATGCAGCTTTTGATCCACCACGGTATTTTTCTTCTGAACATCTAAAACTTACTTATAAAGTAAATACTTATTTTGTCTGATTTAATGGAAAGATATTATTTCTCCTTGAATTTTCCTTTTAAAGGGATCACTTGAGACTAAGGAATACATGATTGGGGAGCTTACAAAAGCTCTGGAACTTACTACAGAACAGGTTTGTGTTTTGGCAGCAATTTTGGGCAACTTTTTACTACCTGAAGTTCAAATGCAAGATATTTACAGGAAGATATTGGAAGCCACCGGATCTAAAGAGGCGAAGGTTAGTTAGAGTTTGATCTGTTTGCAATTCCAATGTAAAAACGTTATAAATTACAATGTAATGTATTTTTTTTTTAATGATGATTCAAAAAAATCATCTTTCGGGTCTGATTTTTACTCCTGAAGACGCTATTTTTTCTGAGTATATATAAATATATACATATCTGTTTGTATTTAATTTTACTATTTAATATGAAGAATGTTTTGGGTTCTCTTTCAGTTGAGTGGCGAGACAGGGTTGAAGTCGATCGCGGAATTTGTCAGGACACTTTCACCTCCTTCGAACATGGATTCCTTGGTGGTGCAGTTATTTGGGAGCGCCGACGACAAACGTGTTCCCGCTTTTAGACAATCTGTACAGTATTACCTAAACGGCACCGCTAACGGATTCCTAAAATATTGCAGTGCTTCCGGTAAATGTTTTTTACTTATTTTATTGAAAACGGGAATATTTTGAGGGGGTAAATGTAGTTTTGTATCTAAGACTGTGTCTTCTATGTATTAATTTGAAACAAAAGTTTGAAATTTTTACTCAGTAATGAGAATGTAAATATCGTTGCTGTTTAGTCCTAAATCTTCCTAAAAGTACCATACCGGATGTTTGATGACGGTATCGGCGTGGTTGGAAGTAGAATAAATTAATCGCAATGCAATAAAAATAATTAAAAATAGTTATTTTTAAAGAAAGGCGGTTTACATTACTTTGAGGTGAATGGTGTTTTTATTGTTATTAAAAGTGTTTAACTTTTTTATAGCAAATGGGAGAAAGGATAATTTGAAAGGGAACAAGAAGGGTAATCAGAATAATAATAATAATATTAACAACGTTTCGAATTCCATTTCGAAAGGCGACGAGCCCGAATTTGATACGTCAGGGTTTGCTTCAGAAACCACTGAACAAGAGGTAATTTGTAAAATAAAGACTTACTATATTTTTAAATCAAGTTAAAATGATATTTTTAAATCAAGTTAAGCTTCTGTGTTGTATTATACTATGTTTTTACTGTGCAAGTAATTAAATCTGAATTTTATTAAAAGTATTCTTTTGTATTATGTTTAACAGATTGAAAGTCTTCAAAACTATAAGCTGGCGACTGCAAACGCAGTAATGTCGTCAGATATAATGGTTGGTTTGCAGGAGATGGATTTGAATTCGATAAAGGGGGGAGAGTCGTCGCCTCTGTCGTCGGACAATTCGCGTCTAAACGGTCACTCGGAAGTTTCCTTCAACAGTGCAGGAAGTGCAGCCACATCTAACAACTTGACCAGTGCAAGTTCAGTCACCACCCGTATCAATCTCTTAGTTAGCTCCACTAGTTCCAACACCAGCAGTGTTCCCACGTCACCCAAACATGGGGAACAGAAACAACAACAATCAGGTAAGTTATTAATATTTTTAATGCGGTGTATGTCTTTTAAATTAGTTAATTATTTAAGCTGTAAATTAATGTAAGGTGTCCTACCATTCTATCACTTTTTTCCTTATGGACTTCCTAGATTTTTTGGTCTCTTGCTTTTTCCAATTTTACTCCATTTCAAACGTTATTTTTTAATGTCTTCCTTTGCATGTGACGTTATCTATTTCGATGGTAACGTACCACGGTAGGGAAGTAGATCATAATTGTTTTATGTGATAATAATAAGAAATTTGTATATTATTGAAATTTCTATTGAGGCATAACCAACAATATACTGTTTATTATGACCAATTATTTTTTTTACTCATGGCATATAGTAATGTGTGCGTTTTCGTTTGTTTTTATTTTAGTAAATCCGAATCCAGTGAAACCGACGGTATCATTGGACGTTCTGCGAACGGCTTCGTTACGACATCAGAAGGGACTGATGGCTCCACTCATTCTCCACGTCCTGAGCACCCAGGAAGTTCGATTACCCTGTCTCATGGAGGACGAAAATTATCGTGAGTTCCCGCCGATCCACGAGATTTATAGGCCGTTACGTCAACGTGTCTACGCTGTTCTATTCAATCTACACCACCTTCGTTATGTACACAGCAAAAAGAAAGGTTAGTGATGATAAGAAGCAAATTCACAGTATAATTGTTTTGTTAACTGCATGTATTATAAAAGTGACCTTTTAGAAATAATTAAAATAAACTAACGGGTACAACCCGTCCGAATTTCGTTTCTCTATACCGTAACTGTTGAGAGTAGCTATCCTACTACATTTTCGTATTTGTGTCACAGAAGCGGGTGAGGTGGCCGACAACAGTCCCCAGCCGGACATCATAGTGAAAGAGTGGGTTTATAGTCGTGCTAATCCTTACCAGCATGCGGAACAGGTGAAAGCGGATCCCTTACCGTGGGCGGTACCGACGTTAAATCGCCTTTGGTTCGGTCCTTCACTTGACGACAAAAGGAGGCGAATGCGTGCACTCCTGTCCTGTCTAAATTCTGACACCCCCCTCATTCTGAACACTTCGTATGTGCCTCAACACATGCTCGTGATGGCTTGCGTGCTCCGTTACATCATGTCACAGGGGTGGGCAATACTACGACGCCAAGAACTAGACGCTTTCATCGCAGCCGCCTTCAGTCCTGATCTCATGAACGCCCAGTATTTACAAGATTTAACGGTGAGTAGAAAATGAATTGTATTAGAATGATCTTTACTAATTTTATTTTTATTCTTCTCCATTATCTTTTTCATCAACGTTTGTTGTTTAGTTGATGGAATTTAACGGGAAGAAAGATCAAGTTGTGTTTCAGGGTGGGAATTTAATGATTTGATGTTAATTTTCTCTATCGAAGCACAAACAATAATTTTAATCTTTTATTCTAAAACAATGCTACTAAAAGAACGATTAATAATAAATTAATAAGCAAAATATATTTTTCTTCTTAGCTGACGTAAAATAAAAATATGATGAAAAGTCTTAGCAACTTTGACGTAAGTGACCTACATGTAATAAAAATGCTAATCTTTATAACATTTGGGACACTTACTTGATTTTGATTAAACTTTTCCAACAAATATTTTTGTTTTCTGTCCGATACAGTTGACAATGGTGACGAGTCGCGGGGTCCAATTGGCCGCGATATTCATGGAGGGCGTGGAGATGGCACTTTTGGCGAACGACGCGTGCGGCGCCCCCTTGCCGTGGCTTATGTGTTGCCCTTGGCTATATTTCGACGGTAAACTGTTCCATCATACTCTCGCCCGTACTATGCATTCCAAGAACTTGCTCGAACTCTGCGAGAATCATATCGAATGGGTTGTAAAAGTAGAACGTATGCGAAAGGCCGTGCTCGAAGGTCTCGACGTTCAATTTGCCAAATTACCCTTGCCGCCGTTTACAGGTAACATCACAATAAAAAAGTAATTACAAATGTCTTTACGAATTTTGTAATAATTTCTTTCTTTTTAAGGATTGTTGCGCCAGGGAATGCCCCCACCATGTAATTTGCCGACAGTACCGTTGCCGTCAACCAGGGGGGCTGCAGGATTGAGGCAGAGGCCGATACCGTCCCGAGGAGGACAGTTGCAAGTAGCGGGAGTAGTGGTTGGATCGTGGGGAGCCAACTACGGTTATATGAGGCAACAGCCCCAAGTAACTGGTGGTCGGGGACGCGGTTTCAGTCCCCACTATAACCAGGGACAGAATCGAAAACCGGGACCTCCCACCTACAATGTCAACAAGAAAAATAACGTGAGTGTTTTCTTTTTGTTAGTAGTACAAGTATACAAAGTGATAATTTTTGGTTTTCTTTGAGGTAAAACAATGTTCAAGCTTTGTTTTAATATTGTTAATAATGGCATATCTCGCACCTCGATTCGTTTCACGTTGAATTGTTAATTAGATGTGAAATCTAATGAGGATGCAAGATTAATTAATCCAACCGAAAAGCATTTCGTTGTAAAATTATTATTTGACGAAACAAAAGTCGTGTTGGACAAAAATTGATTATAATGAATTAGTTTTACTTTCCTGAGTTTAATAAACTTGTTCGCCTCGTTGTGTTCTAATGATTAATTTTTTGTTCCTATTGAGTATTGAAGAGTAAAAAATTATAATAATAAGTGTAAGTAATTTTACTTGGGCGACATGAGGTACATAAATTAGTATAATCTAAATAGTAATCAAAACAAATTACATAAAGTTGAATTAAAAATATCGTTCTTTGTTCACATTATAAAGTAAATTAAATTTCAGTCAAAGGATAAACATAAGTGAAGACGAATTAAACAAATATGATCAATCAATTTTTTTAGCATTAACGACTACTAATTAAAGAGATCATTCCATCATTTCAATTAACGTGACAAGCTTCTCAAATTATCACATTCATTTTTGAATGTACAATACCTATAATGTTGATAACTGGCTTTAATTTAAGCAATTTCTTTTTTTGGTATTGCATTGGATGTAATGTGTGCGAATTAAATATATTTTAATTAGGATGTGTCATGAGTATTTTAACTAACAACTACTTAATCGGGTACGAATGTTAATATGATTTTAGGCCAACAGGAAGAAAGCCAAGAGTAATCAGCAAAGGCAACAGGCGACCGCACCAAAAGGTCGGGGAATGACGGTTAAAACGAACAAGGGGTAAGGAACCCATTTGTTATTTTCTGAATATAAATAAAATTTTCTATTGTTGTTTTTGTTATTGGGCAGTCATACAGAGATTTTTTTACCTCTATTTTAATTCTTTCGTATTAATAGGGACGTTCTTGCGACTGATCTTCTCAAGAACGAGACCATCTTCTCGCCGGAGGAGGTCGCTTTTGAGGACTGCAAGTCAGCGACCGCGTCCCGCGAGCACCATGGCCAAGGCGACGCGCCCACCGCGACCCACGTGGACGTGATCGCGCCCTCTTTGTAATAAGGACGCCCCGTCCTCGCTTCCCCTTGTGTTCCATCATCCCTTCGTATTCGGCGTATGTAAGTACACTATAAATGAACGTAAAACTTTTAGTTCGCGCGTGAACTTGTGTCCACACCTAACTTCACCACCCCTCGTGAGTGTTTATAAATACGCGTAGGCAACGTTTATTTCCTTCTGCCCTTTGCTATTCCCCATACTTCCTCGGACCATTCGATCTCGTATACACGCGCGCGTATGTTCAAGCTTTTGCTTCCCGCTCTTCGAGTTACCCCGTTCCCCTATTTTTTTTTCCTATTATCGAGTAATTCTTTTGGTTTGTTTAATTTCTTACGTAAATTTTTTTTTGCATTGGAACAAAGATTAATATTATATCGTCGATTTTTACAAAGTGCTTTTTGGAGTTACGTTATATTATTATTATTGAGTTCTAAGTTTATGATAATATGATAACATTTCGTAATCATTCGGGATATAGTATATAATGTATATGTATTCGTAATGAGGTGGACAAAAGTGTTGGAGAAACGCTGGGATATTCGATCCTGTACGCTTTCGTGTAGAATTGTCTTTTTCTCCGCCGCCCATTGTCCGTCTCCCTCCCCATCGATCGTCTCGTCCTCCGCGGCACGGTGTACACGAATACGTGTGCTCTATGAGCACGGGCTGTTTGCCGTTCAATTTTTCGTGTGTTTCTCATTCTTATTTGTTAATATATTTTGGTCTATAGTTTTTGAGAGTTTAGGACACGGGGGTGTGGGTGTGTGTGTAGTCCATCTAAAAATAAAGATTACCGCGTGTGGTGTGACCTTTGGTCTATCCGGCCCAGCGTTGCAACGCTGACCACAACTGCGAAGACATTTATTTTTATTTTTTGTATAATATTAAGACACGTACCTACCTACACGCTACACGACCGCTGACGAGGAATTTGAATTCATCAAACTCAGAAAATAAATATAACGATGATTATAACAAATAAAAACCAGACAGATCAACAAAGAGAAGAGATTATTAATGTATTACGTTGCGGTAATACTTGCTGGTCTGGAGGCACACAGGGTGACGTATGTTGTAGTAGTGGGGCGTTAGACGTACCAGTACTGCCCTCTTGTGTTCGAAGAGTTAGTGCGTAAACGTGCCCCCCAAACCTGGCGCGCGCGCGACCGTTTACGCCGACTGATTGTTTGATCCAAAAACATAAATAAAAAACAAACAAAAAAATAAGAAAATAAAAAACAAATGTATATTTTTGTATGTTTGTTACGCTATTGTTATTATTAAATGTAATAATGATAATATATCGACTGAGAGAAACGCCTGTCATGGCTGTGATTCGATTGTATTTATTTATACATTAGAAAAGGATCTGTTGGTTAGTGTCCTTGGCCGAACAGAAAATTTACGAATGTCTACACGCCCTTTGCAGCGACTTTTTATATATTTATGTTATATAAAGTGTACATTTCTGATAACGATGGTGTTGTTTGTTGAGGGCTCGCGATCACGTTGTATGCATATGTTAATTTTTATTCTTTTTCGTTAGTATTGTTTGTTTTGCAAAGGCGAAAATCGTATCGTAACTTTTGTATTCTGCCAAGGTGTTTGTGGTGATGAAAGATATGAATAGTAAAAGAGAAGAACGTTTTGGTGCGATTCTGTAAAAAGCAAAAACCGATTCACTCAGCCAAAAAAAATAATAAATAGTAAACATCCTGCATTTGAGAGACTGGAATTTTCTAAACTTGTATTAAAAAGCCTAACGAATTTCCATAAAACAAAAACGGAAAAGAGTAGCGCAACTTTATGATATTGGTACGAACTTCGGACGAATCTTTAACTCAAAAACCAACCATTTATGGTATTTCTTCTCAATAGTTTATTTACCTTTTATGAGGGAGCTAATTATACATATAATTTTTTGAGTTAAGGTTGTCCGTTGGTTGTGCATTTTCCAAACATTTGAATCGTTAAATGGTCAATTTTGAATGTAATTTTTTGAGAATGTAACAATACAATGCCCTGTATATGAAGTATTATACATTTTTAAATGAAATATCAAAAAGTCGTCCTAAGGGGCCCTTTTCATACACGCATATGCATACATACATATATAATCCAACAAAACAAACTTGATTGCTCACCGAGATCAAAAACAAAAAAGTTAATTGATCAATAAATACAAATATATGTTGTCCACTACGATAAAAGAAATCATTTATTAATGGCTTATGTACTAATAGTTGATCGAAAGAAAAATGATAAAAAGTAACGTTAATATGATGAACTTAGGCCGAAACTGGATTCCGCCTTTACACAGCAAATGTATTAATTACAAATAAAGAAAAAGAAAATGAGAAAAAAATAAAATAATCATATATGTACTATTACTACTACTACTATTACTATTACACATTAAATTACTCGCAGAATATTTTTATTATTATTGTACGTAGCACTTACTAATGAAAAAAAGAAAAGTCATTCATGTTTCAGCATTTTGCATTGCTGCTTCTTATTATTTTTGAAATAANGCTTTATTAATTTTTAATATTTACACGCTTAGATATCTTGAAGAAACAGCAGGTTGTTATTATGTAGATAAATTTTCTTGCAGTGAACTCTAGCACTTATTAATCGCATAAAAAGATGTTAATAATAATTATTAAAAATAGTCATTTCGAATATTATGTATGTGTATATTGGCTCTCGTGGCAAATCCAAAGTACTACTACTTACTACCTACTACATTTAAAAGAAGTAAACTATGTATTGTTAGAGTAGTTGTTTGGTGATTTTGGTGAACATGGGGCAATATTCTTTTTGAAAAAGCTAAGGCTTTCACGGCCAGCATTATCTGAAGAGGCTTCCATATTCGGGCTTGATGACTGTGGTTCAGAATTGGTTCTTCACCTTCGGCGAGTGAGTCCATCCATGAAATCCTCAGTGAACATAGCTAGGACGTAAAATCCTTCACTTTGATTGTGCTGAGACTCAGCCGTGTTCCCTGAGGATGACAACTGCAGCAGCTGGTGAAACGGCAGATGGACGACTCCCTAAGGAAAAGAATCAAATATACTGTCATCAAGCTCAAATATCGAGTCTCTCTTCCGTATTCTTTTTAATCGCGACCTTTCAACAAACCGAATCGATGGTCGATCTTTAAAAATATATTTTTTAATTGTTTCTTATATCATGATAATTGATTTGCTTTATTTTATTTTCTGTTCGTCTTTTGGTGGGCAAATGAAAAGGCGCTTCAAAAATGGACATTGTCTCAATGTTTCGTTCATAATCACCACAATCCTGTTTTGCTTATATCAGTATCATGTTTAAAATATTAATCATTTTAAAGGATGAACAACATAGGGGCGAAATATTTCAAATTTGTAATTTTCTGTAGGTCAGAGTGGGTAGAGGCTTCCGGAACTGTTTTTTCAGTTTTCGGGAGCAATGTTAAGAGAGAATCGTTCGAAAAATAAATATTTACATGATGTATTAATGTGTTTAATTTATTTTTGTGAGAAAACATCAAGGTAATTAATATAACCCTATGTGTGTTGGGTTGCCTACATACGCAGTTACAATATTACTTCCCGCTATAAATATTACAACTACCCTTGAATTATCTGTGAAATAATAAAATAATAGTTGAGTATTTTGTGTATATACTTCTCAGCACGTTTATTTAGAAATTACCAGGAAAAAAAGTTTATAAATGAACTGGTGTACATTAAAACTTATAATCTTCTGTTGTTGTTTCACTCTTCACATTAATAAATAAACCCCAAATGATTGGTACAATTTAAATTTATTGTAAGTTGCTGAACAAAACAGTGCGGTTAAACAACAGTAGTGTAATAAAATACTAGTGAATAATGCTTTATTAATTTTTAATATTTACACGCTTAGATATCTTGAAGAAACAGCAGGTTGTTATTATGTAGATAAATTTTCTTGCAGTGAACTCTAGCACTTATTAATCGCATAAAAAGATGTTAATAATAATTATTAAAAATAGTCATTTCGAATATTATGTATGTGTATATTGGCTCTCGTGGCAAATCCAAAGTACTACTACTTACTACCTACTACATTTAAAAGAAGTAAACTATGTATTGTTAGAGTAGTTGTTTGGTGATTTTGGTGAACATGGGGCAATATTCTTTTTGAAAAAGCTAAGGCTTTCACGGCCAGCATTATCTGAAGAGGCTTCCATATTCGGGCTTGATGACTGTGGTTCAGAATTGGTTCTTCACCTTCGGCGAGTGAGTCCATCCATGAAATCCTCAGTGAACATAGCTAGGACGTAAAATCCTTCACTTTGATTGTGCTGAGACTCAGCCGTGTTCCCTGAGGATGACAACTGCAGCAGCTGGTGAAACGGCAGATGGACGACTCCCTAAGGAAAAGAATCAAATATACTGTCATCAAGCTCAAATATCGAGTCTCTCTTCCGTATTCTTTTTAATCGCGACCTTTCAACAAACCGAATCGATGGTCGATCTTTAAAAATATATTTTTTAATTGTTTCTTATATCATGATAATTCATTTGCTTTATTTTATTTTCTGTTCGTCTTTTGGTGGGCAAATGAAAAGGCGCTTCAAAAATGGACATTGTCTCAATGTTTCGTTCATAATCACTACAATCCTGTTTTGCTTATATCAGTATCATGTTTAAAATATTAATCATTTTAAAGGATGAACAACATAGGGGCGAAATATTTCAAATTTGTAATTTTCTGTAGGCCAGAGTGGGTAGAGGCTTTCGGAACTGTTTTTTCAGTTTTTGGAAGCAATTTTAAGAGAGAATCTTTCGAAAAATAAATATTTACATTTACATTTTTGTGAGAAAACATCAAAGCAATTAACAGAACTTTAGAGGTAATAAATATGACGTTATGTATGTTGGGTTGCCTACGTACACAGTTACAATATTACTTCCCGCTATAAATATCGCAACTACCCTTGAATTATCTGTGAAATAATAAAATAATATTTGAGTATTTTGTGCATATACTTCTCAGCTCGTTTATTTAGAAATTACCAGGAAATAAAGTTTATAAATGAACTGGTGTATATTTAAATTTATAATCTTCTGTTGTTTCACCCTTCACTTTAAGAAATAAACCCCAAATAATTAGTACAATTTAAATTTATTGTAAATTGCTGAAGATAACAGTTCGGTTAAACAACGGCTTAGTGTAATACAACTACTAATAATAGTGAATAATGTTCTTTACATAGTGCGTTTAAGTAAAAGTGGATAACATTAATTAATTATATTATAATAGTAGTAAATAGAAGATTTTCAGACTGTAGGTTTGATACTGTATAATTATTCAAGAAATATATCAAAGAGAAGAGATTATTAATGTATTACGTTGCGGTAATACTTGCTGGTCTGGAGGCACACAGGGTGACGTATGTTGTAGTAGTGGGGCGTTAGACGTACCAGTACTGCCCTCTTGTGTTCGAAGAGTTAGTGCGTAAACGTGCCCCTCAAACCTGGCGCGCGCGCGACCGTTTACGCCGACTGATTGTTTGATCCAAAAACATAAATAAAAAACAAACAAAAAAATAAGAAAATAAAAAACAAATGTATATTTTTGTATGTTTGCCTTGCCGTGGCTTATGTGTTGCCCTTGGCTATATTTCGACGGTAAACTGTTCCATCATACTCTCGCCCGTACTATGCATTCCAAGAACTTGCTCGAACTNTTAATTTTGACAATTGTGTCATTAAATTGTTAATAAATTCGATGTATTTGGGGCACACAAAACAAAACTTAAAATAAGGTAATTTTTTGAGTTATTATTATCAACTCTGATAAATTTGTCTAATAAATAACTATACATTCCAATGTCTACAATAAATATTCGCAAATGTATCTAATCTCTGGGCATGGACTATAAACAGAAAAAATAATCCAGTGGGCCATTTGTAAGCAAAACTCAAAAATACACCCCAACCAAAATTTAAAGTTCGATGACAATTTAAATTTCTGTTTGTTCTTTGAAAGTGTTTGTTCAAAAATTCCTGTGTAAATTACCTTTTTGAAATGACGAGCAAACCATTTTCGGCCCATTGCACGAACATGTTCGAAGAAACTCATATGACCACAGGTACACGAGCCCGTAAGAAGCACCAAATTCTAATTTTCATGGGTTGTAGAACCAAGAAACATTGGCGCAGAAAATCTATATTTTTCCCAAAGTCAAAGCCGAAGGATCATTGACACAACTCTGACTTCAATTAGCGCGAATCCTTTACAAAATTATAATGTACCAAGCCCTACCATGAATAATGGCGATTCGGCTTTACATAATCCTTGTATTAATTATGCCCAACCTAGTCCTGTTGCTGGGGGTGGATTTTTGTTTTCTTTTGCATCGCCCCAACCCAACTATCTTAATATGTTCAATACTGGACAAAATATCAAGTAGGTTTAAGAGTAAAGCTCTATACAGGTTCATACTTAAAAATCAGCAATTCGGAAGTAATATTACTGAAGGTCGTAGGTAGGTACATGTACCATTTACCAAATTAAAGGACCCGACAGTTTACGTTCACTGCAAAAAGGACTGGTCATTTTTATGTAATTTTTAAGCCCAAAAACTTCTGAGTTCTATTTCAAAATTTACCGAATTAGTGAAGACTACTAAAACAAAAATGACAACAGTCCATGCTGGTTAAATAGGTTATGTAATATAAACAAATTGTTTCTACAGGTTCTTTATTAAAAATTCGCTATAAAAATAACTTTATCAGGTATTAGTTGAAAAGAAGTTTATTGTACTGAATTGAACAATTTAAACCACTTCTGCTTAATTTTAAAGTAAATCTCCTAATATGGCAGGTAAATTGAATCCTTTGGACGTTTAGTGTAAATTAATTATGTATCATTTTTACATGATAGTTCACAGACTGTTTGCATTTATAGGTGGTGTTAATATATGTCCTAAGGTGCTGCAATATGTTTCTTTTAGTGCTTGACTTATTCTACCACCAATCTATTAAGGATAAAAGATTTGGATTGGGTTTAATAAAGCAAGATTGTCTGTGAAAGAATGTTTCGTCAAGTACTTAAGAATCAACATCAGAAGTATGTATTTCTTTCATTAAAAGTCCGAATCGAATTATGACTTAAAATTTGGGTTTTATGAATATTTTTGAATGGAACTATCCTCTTGTCATGCATAATAGTCAAGTTAATGCAGCTTATAATGTCAGATGATTGTAGTTTATTAATTTGAAGATATAATATAAGTTTGCTTACATATTTGAATTCTGCATCTTGTATCACATGTATACATGTCTTTACACATACATGCTTGTATTTGTATTGTTATAAAAAGTATTTGTATGTCAAATTAAGCATTAAGAACATCAAGCAATGCTGTGTAGCTATAGTTATTTTATTTGAAGTAAAATGGGAAATATTTCAGATTCGAATTCTGCAATAATGATACATAGCCAATGAAAATTCCATTGGATGGAAGTGAGGATGTTTTGAAAGAAAGGTAGGAAAACAGAGGGCACAAAAAGGAGAAATAAGATGTTAGAACACTTTCTGAGACGTAAAGGCTGGGGTCAGTTAGACATATTAGAAGCAGAAGCAGGATTAAACACTGAAGAAGGCCCATATTACATTACTGTTCTCGTACAGTTGTGATATGAGGTGTTGCAGTTCTTGGGAAATGTAAAAACAGACTCAGGATAGCAAATAGTGGAGGAGTGTGTCCAATTAGATTCTGGATTGATGACCTTATGATGATGATGGATATTTTTCTTTATATTGTCATAAAAACATTTTTTATCAAAATTAAATATTAAGAAAGTGAAGTACAGAATTGCATATGACGTCATATTGCTATAGTTTTCTTATTTGATGCCAGAGTGAAAAATCTGCTGCTAATTTGAATTCCTTACATCGTTTTGCTTCAGATTATGTGTCTGTACAGTTATAAATACGTTTATAATGTAATTATAAAATAATAACATTTAGTACCCTGTTTACCAAATAGTAAAAGTGCACTGTTTGATTTATTTCAAATGTAACTGCACTTATGTCTTATATTTCAATTCTGTACTTTATTTTACATCGATATATTTTGTATATTCATAAAAAGAACTTTAATATATGCTTTGTCAATTTATTTATTAATTTTCAAGTTAAAGTAAGATTAATTCTGTTTCTGTATTGTATTCTTCTCAGTAAAATTCGATAAAATAAAAGTTTTTATAGATTTAATATGANTTAAAGTAAGATTAATTCTGTTTCTGTATTGTATTCTTCTCAGTAAAATTCGATAAAATAAAAGTTTTTATAGATTTAATATGAATTATTTCAAATACGAATGAATTGCACCTGTTGAAGGATTAGAAAAGATAAAAAGAATTTTGATTGCCCAACTACTTTTATTAAAAGTTTGCCAGGGATTATACTTTTAGAAAGGCTATTTGATAAAAATCAAAGTTTCTAAAAGTCTGTTAAATTAAAATAAAATACCATTTAATTTTGACAATTGTGTCATTAAATTGTTAATAAATTCGATGTATTTGGGGCACACAAAACAAAACTTAAAATAAGGTAATTTTTTGAGTTATTATTATCAACTCTGATAAATTTGTCTAATAAATAACTATACATTCCAATGTCTACAATAAATATTCGCAAATGTATCTAATCTCTGGGCATGGACTATAAACAGAAAAAATAATCCAGTGGGCCATTTGTAAGCAAAACTCAAAAATACACCCCAACCAAAATTTAAAGTTCGATGACAATTTAAATTTCTGTTTGTTCTTTGAAAGTGTTTGTTCAAAAATTCCTGTGTAAATTACCTTTTTGAAATGACGAGCAAACCATTTTCGGCCCATTGCACGAACATGTTCGAAGAAACTCATATGACCACAGGTACACGAGCCCGTAAGAAGCACCAAATTCTAATTTTCATGGGTTGTAGAACCAAGAAACATTGGCGCAGAAAATCTATATTTTTCCCAAAGTCAAAGCCGAAGGATCATTGACACAACTCTGACTTCAATTAGCGCGAATCCTTTACAAAATTATAATGTACCAAGCCCTACCATGAATAATGGCGATTCGGCTTTACATAATCCTTGTATTAATTATGCCCAACCTAGTCCTGTTGCTGGGGGTGGATTTTTGTTTTCTTTTGCATCGCCCCAACCCAACTATCTTAATATGTTCAATACTGGACAAAATATCAAGTAGGTTTAAGAGTAAAGCTCTATACAGGTTCATACTTAAAAATCAGCAATTCGGAAGTAATATTACTGAAGGTCGTAGGTAGGTACATGTACCATTTACCAAATTAAAGGACCCGACAGTTTACGTTCACTGCAAAAAGGACTGGTCATTTTTATGTAATTTTTAAGCCCAAAAACTTCTGAGTTCTATTTTTTTTTAAGTTAATTAATTTGCAAAAGGCCATTATGAAAACTGACCCCACAATCCATCTTTTTGAAGTCAATTACAAAGTTAAAATAGAAAAACATATCAAAATTTGTTTTATTTTTAGCAGTTATGGTCATCAGCAGCCCAATTATCCCAATAATTATCAATTTACGAATAAATCAAACACTTTATCGTCCCACCAAAACCCTTTCAGTTCCTTCACGTGCCCCACCACACTACAAGAAAATACTCAAAAAGAGAATCCCTTCAAATTACAGTTTCATTTACAAAGAAGCACGTCAACTAGCGATTTGCCAGAAATGAAAATTAACAGCGTTAATGATGATGAAATGGCTTTTGTAAAAAAAATGACTGACCTACATCACATTTGGAGAGACCGCAGTAAGTCTCTCAAAACTATTGCTTCATTGTAACTTAGTTTCTAAATCTAATTAAGACTATTTTAGGTGACATGTGTTCAAAATTAAGTCATTTTGATCCTTTTCAAAAATATGGGGTAAGTATCTTTATTATTTTTATTTGTAGGAGTATGTTTACAAAATCCAATTATTAGAATTAAAAAGTAACTGGGTACATATATATTTTATTCGTTCTAAATCCATTTTTTTTAATTGGTCCCTTTTTATCATTTAATAAAACCGAAACGTATTATAGATAAATAAAGTTTTGCATCTGTCCAAAAGTCCGGATTTAAAAGCCAAAAAAGGAAAGTTCTACGAAATAGATATAAGTCAAGAATGCGATGTCTGCCAGAATAACATTTCGCAAACTTTACAACTTTTTGAAAACGAAAGAAAAGGTTTATTCGTCAATAAAACTTGTATGAACAACGATGAGTTTAAGGCGAAAGAAAAAAAAGAACGCACAGAAACGACGACTACAGCCACTGAAACTTCCACTGACTTAAAAGACGAATCACTTCAAACAGAGTCTAAGGTTTGGGATAAAAATGTCCCAATGGATGTATCTGATGACCTTAAGACTGACAACGAAGAGGCTTTTTTGGAAAATTTAAAGAAGTCCTCTGTTTTTGATGGAAGATCATCATCATTAAAAAACTTTAGAGAGAACTACAGCGACGAAAATATCGAAGAAATGCTTAACAAAAAAGTAAAAAATCTGTTGAATTATTTTCCTAGAAGTATATTACGAAAATTTAAACTTCTTGAAACTGAAATAACCAATTTATTATTAAAAACAATGCAAATGTCTGAAGAAGGGAAATGTATTTATTCTGATCAAGATTTAGAAGAAATTATACAAAAAGAAGAAACTGGTTTGCAACCGAAAAATTTTGATCGCAACTTACTTAAATGTTTAACAAATAAAGGTACGAATTTTTGAAAATATAACTGTTCAATTGCTAAACATATATAATATACGATCTAAAAATTGTAATTTAATTTCTTTTTATATGTACGTAATAGGAAGAGCTGAGAAACGCCACTTTTCGAAATATGGAAGCGATGACGATATTTTTGAATTTCAAAAGGTAACATTTTTGCTATACAATAAAAAATATTTACTAGACCTTTCAGTGAAAATGAGAATAAACTCTATTAATTTACTACACATAGCACATTTATTAGTTCGAAGTCACTTTTAACTTGTTTTAAATTTGTAATAAGTATGATTTTTTAATTATCTAATTTATAAATTACAGACAAACAAAATGCTTCGTCTTACAAAAAGTACAGATCTGGTTGTAACGTCTCAAAACAGAAACGAACTGGAGCCCCCCAAAGAAATTGATAAATTAAGGATCGACGATGACAATATAGAATGCAAAACGTTATCAGACAAGTCTGTATCTTGTAAACAAGCAATATCAAATTTAAAACCTAAAAGTTTAGATACCAAACCGATCGAAACAATTTGTTTAGACAATAAAACAAAAAGCGAAAATAGTTTAATAAATACGAAATGTATTTCTTCTCAAATTCTATCCCAAGCAGATGACCAAATTCAAAAATGGCATGACATTATTATAAAGAAGCTTCAAATGTTTGAAAATGGCATTAGAGAGGTTTTCATGAACACAAAACATTTTTCACTGAACTGCTCCGATATTACCCAGAACCCCGTGATCAACGAGGTCAATTCTACAAATACAGACACAGTTAGTTATATAGGAAGCTTTTTGGACAAAATTATAACGTTACAAAAATCTCCTGATATTTTGGACAAGATTAATAAACTCGAAGAAGAAGTTACAGGAACACCAAAGTCTAAAACACGTTTAAACAGAAATTGTGATAAAAATGATTCCATGGACCTGGATGATGTACAATCAAAGGCCACAGAAGAAAAATCAAAATGTATCGATGAGAAAACCGAGCTTATAATTCCCGAGGAAAGTCTGAGACCAAATCATGGATTAGAAATTAATCGACAACGTGTAACTTCAGAAATTAAATTACCACCGAATTGTTCTACAGGCGTAATGGACTTTGACAACCTCAGTTTGAAGACATCTAAAAGGAAATTGTGTGAAACCGACCCAATAATTTACTCGCAATCATTTTACTCGCCATCCAAAAAAGCAAACGTGGACTTTGAACGAAAAACTGTTTCAGAAAATTACATACAAGGATTTTGGAAATCAAGTGAAAAGTACCACTACACACCCAAATATAATAAGACCAAAACTACTGGCCATAATGTATCAGCATTTGGAAGCAATTCGTCCAATCAAAGTACTTTCAATTTGCAAAAATCAAGCAACTCTACTGACATCAAAAATTCCATTGGATTCATTCCGACCTTCAATATTAAAAAATCTGTTAGCGAAATAGTAAATAATAGTCACACCTCTGAATATAAAATGACCCCTTTACAAGAAAGTGTTATCAGCAAAAACAATGATGATGATCAAACTGAAACAGTATCGCAAGTAGACGATCGAAAGAGTATATCAAAAATCATTGATGATATACACACACAGATTTGGGGCAGCGACAAAAACCCCACATTCAAATCTCACTATTTTGCAAAGAACTTTAAGAAAAGCAACAGTTTTGATAAGTACAAGCATAGCCAAACTGAACAAATAAAAAGAAATGCTATGTTAATCCTGAGGCCAGAATTTGATTCCTACAAAATTAAATCAGAAACTGGAATAGTTGCAACAAGTTCTAAGTACCAACTTTCTGAAGATTCTGATTCCAACACTTTAAGAAAAAATAATTCCAGTGGCTATGGCACAAGCTCAATTTTATTTCAAAAGTCGAAATTTCATGAAGATACTAAAAGTAGCAATTTAAATTACCAAAATAGTTCCGAAAGAAGGTCTAATACATTCATAAAATCCAAATTTCTAGATGATTTTCATACAGCTTCTAAAACTTCACCAAAATCCCATTCTAGGAATTTTGAAAAGCATTTCAGCTTATTATCAAAGTCGAAATTCCGTGAAGACTTCGAGATGTCCAAATCAATCGTGGATGCTATTATTAATAAAGCATGTGATGATTCAGATACCAAACAATTTCAACTAATGTCCACGAGTAACCAAAAAGACCACAGCAAATTCTCTTCAACGTTAAACGTTGCCAAAAAATCAAAAATGCTTTTCCGAGAAGACGATGAAAGAACAACTTCGCCCAGAAAATCCAAATCTCTTACAAGTATTAACGAGGAAACAGAACTGTCTGAAAAAAGCACTGAGCGGCAAATAAACCCTTGGCAAAACAAAATACCGAGGGCATTTGCAAAAGAAAACAAGGAACTGTCGAAAAGTAAAATGCACTTATTTGACAACTGGAGAAAGAAACTACAAGAAAACAAAAGAGGATCATCCAAGTCAAACTTATATCAAAGACCGAGTTTCAAAAAGAAAGTTCCGAGAGCCGTATTGAGTGACGATAGCAAAACTGAAATCGAAGTTTCACTTGAAAGCTACGATAAATCGACTCGCGAAATGGAGAAAAAACTGAACGAAGCCCTACTACGATACAATAAGACGGCCAAAGTAACGGATAAAATCAGTAAGAAGTTTATGGAAACTTCGGATAAAAGTCTACCATTTCCCACTGTCGCAACACCCAGAACTTTCCTAGCTGACAATGAACAAATATTCTTGACTAAAGTAGAGAATGCACTCAAGGCAAAATTGAACGGTAATTTTAAAATCAGTGAAGTCCAAAGTGGTCAAAACAACAGCAAACCATACTATCGAGATAACAGTACCATGGAGCCGTCCACGAGTTTTGATGATGAAGAAATTCGAAGTGTAGAATATTCTAGAAGCTATGTCATACAAAATGCTGATGAAAATGACAAAGACGAAAAATATTGCGAAAATTAAAAGACCAAAAAAAAAAATAAGGTAATGAAAACTTTTAAGGGGTCATTCAAGGATTACGTAACCCCTCCCCCCCACATTTTATAACGTACCGCAACGTTTAACAAGACCTACCGCCCCCCAAAATGCGATATGTAATACTTGAACAGCCACCCACATGTAAACCAAATAATAATTATCCTGTTTTTAATGAATACTTTCTTTTTAATTTCAGAAAAATAAAAAAGTTGAATGATCACATTGATGGCTCCTTCAGGAAAAAAATTGAAATAGTCAAAGTTGTAATTGTAATTGTATGCAATAAATATTGCTATAATCTTTTGGCCACCACCCTCTGCAATACAGTGTTTTATTATTATTTCAAAGTGACAATTGTGATTTTTTGACATTTAAAATTTGGCATACGGATCTAAATTTTATACAACTGGATATTACAAGTAAATTTGAAAGTTTCGTTCTTTTCCCGGTAGTTTAAATTATAATTTGTTTTTCCACTTTTCCATACTCAAAAATGATTAAAGAGGAGATTTAAATTCAAATTACTATCGCAATGGAGGCCGAATTAAATAAATTTATATTAAACAGTGAGATGGTGAGTTATTATTTTGAACACTAATTAATTAGTTGTTGGAATTAACTATAACAAAGCATTTTCATTCAGGCTGAACTGATTAGTACAAAATTTCATTTTGCAAAGTACATCATGTGGTTGCTTCAAGAGCATACGCAAAGGGTCGATTTTTTGAAAGGACAACTTTCCGGATTAAAAACGGATATTTGTGATTTGATCTTGCGAGAAAAAGGCCATACTAATTTCATCAAAGAAATCCAAATTCATGCAGGCGAAGGATCCTCAAAGTCGAAAATATACGACAACTGTAACGACCCAGAAAAGAAAAAAGCATTTGAAAAAGAATGCAAAAAATTTTCCAAAAGTATTAACAAAGCCTTAGTTACCTCTGGTGACATTTCACCATCAAAACATCTAAAACCGATTTCCGAATGTAGCAATAGTAGCGAAAAGTATTTGAACGTATCACGGCCTTCAAGTAGAAAAATGCCTTCATCAGAAAAGTCCAGAAAAGCAACTCCAGTTAGCAGCAGAACGTCCTCTGCAAGCAAACTGGATACCATGAAACACGACACTTCAAGCAGCACAACCCTAAAAAATTCCGTATCAGACATTAGAAGAAGATGTCCCTTTAAAGACCAAAACACCTCTGGACATACGCGAATTCGTAAAAGCAAATCTGCAGTTTGTGGAATGACAAGAGAAAAATCGGAAATGATTGGGAAATACAACAAACTCATGTCCGAAATGTGTTCTGTCTTTGGAAAAACTTGTTCGTCAGTGTCGCAGAAAGATGTCCGACCCAGCAAAGTCAAAAATATGGCCAAAGTCTACGCGTGTCGTAAGCAAAGTATTAAAGTGGAAGAAAAACGATCTGGCAGAAGAAAAAACGCCGAAAAAGGCAAGAATGAAGATGTATTGACTTTAGAAAGCTTTTTGGATTTTATAAACACATCACCACATTTGACTGTAGAAGCTGTTTACGCCCCTCTAAATAAAATGGACAATGAGGAAATTAAGGTATGTATTGGTTTAGCAACCAGCTCTATCCAAGGGGGGGGGGGACAGCTCCTTTGGGTCCCTGGGTCTCCCATATATGGTTAGCAGTGTAAGAATATTTTTCAGGGGGAACAAGCCAAAGGGGTCAGCGATTTCGCCATATCTTGGCCAAGATATATAAAATTTAATTTGAAGAACAATCTTGAAACTTTACAAGAAAATCAAGAAACCACTTCGTTTTCTGGGACGGAAACAGAAATTGAACTTCCATCTAAACAAGGTAAAAAATACAGAAACACACACGATGTTGTTAAGTTTAACATTTCTAGAAATCACAATTTTCTAACTTTTTCACAACTTTTGCAATATACTTTAAAAGTTCCACAAAAACCCATCAAAGTGACACCCTAACAACTGGTCGAATTACAAATTGATTTCTAGGTTTAAGAAGAAGGAAAAATATAGATTACGGTTTTACATCGGATGCAACTTCTTATGAGGCTTAATGAGATTGTATCATGTACGATTTTTTTTATAGTAAATAAACAGTTACTGTTGAAGATTATAATAACTTCTTTTTGTTGGAAGAAGATAAAAACCTGTTAAAAATAAGTACATAAATAAATTACGTGGGTATTGCTACATTATTTTAACTAATACAAATTGAAAAATAAAGAAACGTCATTTGTCAATTTTGATTTTAAAAATTCCCAACAAAATTTTGAAAATGGAGACACCAACGTTCACAGAATTCCAAGAATTAGTTGAGCGTTATTTATCATACACCGCTGATGATCAAATATTATTTCAACATCAAGTTAAAGAAGATACCGACAGGTTTGATAAAATATTTCGTAATAATGAACAAGTAAGTTCTTTTTTTCTACAAATTACAAATTCGCATATTGCATTATTTATTACAGCTAGAAGGGATTGCGGAAAAAATTAGCACCATAAAATCCTTGCAAGAACAATTGGATAAAATTTTAAGGCAAATTTCATATGCTCAAGCACAGATGGAGAAGAAAGTCAAAGAAATAGAACAAAAACAAGAGAAAACCCCCGTTCCCGACACCGAGTCCCAAAGGACAAAAATGTAAAAAATAAAATCAATACCGTATATACTTATAATTAGTAACATTTAACGAAAAAGCAAGTCAGCAAGTTAATTTCTTAATTTTGTCCTGTAGAAATGGTGTATAATGGGTTGCCTCCCAATTCTTCATTTTTAAACTTTACTGTACTAATTATTAATTTGTAGATGCGAATTAATGCAAAAAATATTTACTGAATTAGAAAATTTGAAGAGCGGGAACCAATTTCTAATAAAGAAGAGTAATAATAACCGCGGAGACAGCATAAAGGAAGTGCTTGATACAATTTCGCAAACTATAATTTATTATTTCCGGTGCTGCGAATTAATTCATGCGAAGATAATGGATATCCAGGACAAACTGGAAAAAGTAAGGTCATTTTTGAAGAACAAAAACAATTGTCTCCATTACAATTGATTTTTTTACAGATACGATGATGCAACAGTGAACACGACTAAAATGCAAATAAACATAGAAAATAAATGTTATTTTCAATTGCATAGATTACACTTTTTTTAAATATTTATTTTTTACGTAGGAACATCTTTATCACCCTGTATGGAATACCGATCTCCTAAAAACTGAAGTCTTCATAAATATAATGAGGAAATTAATTATTATTCAAAGTTATAAATAAGTTACGAATAGAAAATATTACATTTTATTTTCATAAGAAATTCTTACTAAAGTTAGCAAAGGATTGAATAG